CTCAAATATTGTAACTTTAAACTCACTTTAGGGAAGGTGTTTTAATTTAACCAGAATGGAAACTTCATTTGCAGAAAAAAGAAAATACCTTAGACAGTGGTTTCTTCTGAGCACAGTTGATACCTCCAACAAAGACCATATTGGGCATCACTGGTCTGACGTACTCAAACACAAAGTCAAATCTCAGAATTGAAATAGAAGCAGAGTTTATGAGATCTGCCAGGGATACATCTCTCTGAAGAACTTCAGAGGAAAGCTTTAATGCTTCTCTGTAGACCCCGTTACAGTACTGAAGCTCCAGGAGGGAAATCAATGCATTTTCCACTCTCTGGAAAAAAGTCATGTGGTCCGAGTTGAAGGTAAAGATTCTCGGGACGTAGGACAGAGGGCTTGGGCACTGTGTTGCTACATAGTGTAGGTTGCAAGGAAGTCCTCTCATGAAGAACACAAACGGAAGAGAAAGATAATTTGCAAGTGTTGCTCCACACATAAAGAAGGGGTCTGTTAGGACAGCATCGAAGTTGCTTTGATTCAAGTACTGCAGGGTCTCCTTGCTCTTGAACAGGTCCTTGCACTGAACAAAGAATGTGCTGAAAAGGTGCACTGATATGTTGTAAAGTGCCAGAGTGTTCAATGGGAAAGGCAGATCCTTCAGGTGAGTGGCAACGTACTCCTGAAAGGCGTTATCCAGCTCTTCTAGTGTTTGAGACACTGGGTATGTTTTCACCGTGTATGCGTCTGTCACTCCCGTGTTCCAGCTGACCTCTGGCAGGAGCACCAGCACTTCATGTCCTTTCTCAGCGAGCTTTTCAACCACAGGCTGCATGCTAAGCCAGTGGCTTCCAACCATGGGCACCACCAGGAGTTTTCCTCCATCTGCCAGGCCCGGAAGGAGGAGGATAAAAATCCAGGCAGAGGAAAGCTGCAAAGTCATGTTCCTGTGGCCAGAATGTGGACTGTGGAAGAGTCTTCTCCTTTGGGCTGTAGCCTGAAGCTGCTTTAGAAGGAAGCAGCTTGGTTCTTCTCTTGAGTTCTGCTGCTTTGTATTAATCTTCTAGTTAATGATTCACTGCTTTGTGTTGTGGGTGGTTTGGGATTTTTTTCATCACTTGTAAAGCCTACTCTGGTAACCCTTTCCTGTTCTGAGTCACTGGAGCTCCAGGATGTTCAACAGAGAACAAGCTCCTCAAAATGATAGTCAGATTTTGTAGGACTTTGCGTTGGATCACTGAGGACAGAACGGAGACGCTCAGGAT